ACTATAAACTTTAAGCCATGTACAGAAATCTTATTCCCCCATTGCAAGAGTCATATATTGTTCTGAGACAATTTAACATCAAGTTAATTATAACACACTCTCTCTCTCTCTGTCCAGAATCCAGGGTATGCATTTTTACATCAATTACTTTTCTGTAACCCGTTTCTTTTCTATACTATTTTTTTCTGTTATATAAAAGACATTAACAATTCATTCATTGAATAGTTGTTTGTCTAGCTTTCTGCAGATATTAATTTTTTTTTGCTGCATTCTAAATTTCTTGGTGCAGACTCTCCAGCTGTGTCTACATCTTCAGTCGACCGTGAATGGATGAACATCACTTCTGCTTTCTGGATCAAACCAAACACAACGTAGGCATGAAGCAGGATTAAACCAGTGGACCTGTCGAATAATCTACGGATGCTCAGGGGACCTACGGCCACTCCCTTAAGTTCTGTTAGGACCAAGTAGACACCTCCACCCAGAGAGTAAGATGTCAGAGGTTGAGGGGCTGGGTCGAAAGTGCTAGACACACACAAGAAAAGAAAGGTAGAACGAGTCCAATAGATTCACTAGGCAAAACAAATCCATACTTCTCATCTCGATCTCCAATACGCCACTCACCGTCACGAATGAAAAACTGAACGCCTCTTAAATGGACATACCATGTTTTTATATACCTGACCCAGCCAATAAAAATGGCTACAAGCAACACCACCACCTCTATCAGCATGAAGTGCTGTCCGATTCACCATCTGTTCAAAGCTCGTCAATTCACCATCTTCACACACCCTTGCAGAATATATACGTGACTCTGGCCATTTTGGGTTGCTGAAGTAAGTCACTGCTACATGTTGAAAGAAAAATAAAGAAAATTGTTAGCAAAAACCTGCAACTTTAAGTATCAGAATAATTATGCTAATGTTGTTTTTTCCCTGACTTGCATGGCCAATCAGAAAAATTGCTCCGTGAATAAAAGCCGTTGTTTTGATTAATGAGGAAAGAAGGATTTTTGAGATTGTTGAGTGAAAATGCATTTCCTGTATAGCAAGTGGGGGGGGGGGGGAGTTGGGATGTTTTACCCCATTTTTGGTATTAATTTGCCTGCTCGACTGTTTATGATTGCTTTGCCTTTTTGGACTTTTTGAACACGTATTTGCAATTGAACTTATTGTTTTATTTTTTTTTTACTGACCCCATTCATTAATATTCTAACTTTTATGTATTTAGTTTCTGCAGCACGATAAGTAGTTGTCACCTGCCTTCTACTAGAGCAGCATCGCCATCAGCTGACTTCTTGCTAGTACTAGTTGATTAGTCAAAATGCCCAAATTTTATAACCACTCCCCTGGCTAAATGAGTCCATCCAAAATAATTGGGCTTTTCCTGAATGTATGCATACATAAATTTCACTAAATAAAACATTACAATAAATATTATAATTCACAAAACCTCCAAATTTTACTTTGCTACCCAGTCTCCAAACCTGGATGGTGACTTCTGAATTCAGCCTGACTGCCTATCCTCAGGTATCTCAGTAGCATTTGGCATTTCAGTGTATCCTGGAGAAATCATTGCATCATTTGCTGGGGAGTCAGTCGACACTCCAGACACTTCAAGGGTTTGTGGAACCTCAGGCAGTTCATGTACCTCTACCACAGGCATATTGGGCACAACTTTCACCATGATCTTGAGGGGTAGTCTCACTAGTTGATTCACATGTTGCCTTACCAAGCCTCCACCCACTCCCATTTCATAATTTACAGACCCCAGTTGTCTGATGATGATGCCCTCTATCCACCACTCCCCAGCTCCGAAGTTCTGCACCAGTACACAATCATCCACCTTGAATTGATGTAGGGGACTCATCACCTTTGTTCCTTGTTCCATATTGGCCTTATAATCCTGAATTTGGTGATATGTATTTGGCTTCAGTAAATGAAAAGCAGTTCGTAATTGATGTTTAAACATCAACTCAGCAGGAGAAACTCCTGTTGCTGTATGAGGAGTAGTCTACCGCTTCATCCCCAGCCCCCCTCAAACAAAGGCATAGTTAAAGAATTGTTTTTCTTTCCTTATCACTTGTCAAAAGAAGAGGAAAGTGATGATGCAAAAGCCAAAATGGAGACACTATTGGTTTTAAATTTCAGGTTATGGAATTATCTGCTGGCCAGAACCCAGCAAAGAAGGCAAAGTGGGAGAATTGTTTTTTTATCACTTGTCAAAAAAAAGGGAAGGGAAATTGTGAATCACTGAGGTGGTGAAATTTCTTTAGATAAGGGCCAAGGTTCCACAAGGTACAGCTGGTGAGTGTCCGATTGGGAAAGCAGAAGGGGTCAAGGAATTCTGTTGATGAAAACTTGGGACATTAATTAAAATTAATAATTGGAGCTAAACCAAGCCTGTTTGCCTATGCAGTCTAGAAATCAGATTGTTCAGATGACCATAGAAGCAAAGGCCTTGGTAGAACACCAAGGGAGGTGAAGGAACTGCCTACATCCATCAGGTAGTATTGGTATGAGGCACCAAAACGAGAAAGAAGGAGTTAGGGTGGATCGATATTCTGCTACCACTACACCTCAGAGGAGGGATCGCTCCAAAATTAGGAATGCGATTAATTTCTCAGAGTGAAACAAAGAAAGAACTCTGTGTGGAAATTAGGGGAATCACCAAAATCCCATGCTAGTTTTGAATGATGATCGAAGTGGCAACTAAAGAGAGAAGCCACCAGACACCAGATGGGAGATGACACTTCACTGAACTCGTGAGCATGATGAAGACTGCTGACTTTGTGCTGTGTTCCAGATGCCTTGTCTAGACTTAGTCATGATGAACAAAGTGTCATGAAGTATTTGAAGAAGGGAAGGGTTGAATAACTGTGCATGACAAATATATTCCTGTATAAAGAACATATATTTCTATCTGAAGAACTGATATTTTACCATAAGCTCTGTAGAAGAAATGGTATATAAAACATTTTCTTTATTACAATTTATTCTATGACTTATGGCTTCACTTTGTCCAGACCAGACTAATTCAATGATTTCTGTTGACAGTTTGATCCTCGTCAGCCTTGTGATCTAAATCAAATATGTGGGACAAGGCAAGGCTTAGATCAAAGTGATCCATTCAGCGGTCAGCAGCAGGGATTGAACATTGATCAGACTGTCTGGACAAATGTCTCAATGTCATAGATATACAACTAATCAGATTGAACTGGAATAAGGTGTATAGGTTAACAAAGATTCCCCAAAGATGGCTCAATGCTATTAAGAAAGAGCTAGAGCCAGTGGGACATGTCTGTGCAGCATCAGTAAATGACTGTAACTCAGATCTACTAAAATCAGTTCATTGTCAAAGCGGACATCCTGGTATAAAACAAACTCTGTATTTCGTGAAGCAGATTGATCTTCCATATCTAATGTTGCCATCAGATTGGTAGTCAGAGACTGCAAGGAGTGCCAGTCCAGCAACCCACCACCTACGCAATGGCTGAAAGGACAACAGAATGAGAGCAAAATGTGTAACTGGTTTGGAATGGACATCACCCACCACAATGGAAACCACTATCTAATTGACTGTGTTCCTACCTGGTTTACTATTTGGCAACGCCAGTATTCTGCAAGCATGATTGACCCCTTAGGGGTGTTATTCTTTGAATGTGGACCTCTGACGGAACTCCTCACTGACAACAACTCTGCATTCTGCAGTGGAATCTTTAAAGACTTTTTGGATTCATGGGGAGTCCACCTCTGATTTTGCTGTGCATACATTCCATCAGGAAATGGCATAATCAAGTGATGCCATCACAGAATCAAGAGAATTGCTGCAAGAGAATTGCTGTGTTCTGTAATGGAAACAAATTGGCACAGCATCACTCCTAAAGATGATGTTTCACCCTCAACTGCACCAGCCAACATGATTTATCAGTACAAAGTCTAGCTAAGAGGTATTGATGCAGCACACTCAACTGAATGAGTAAAAAAATAAACAGCATACCTCCTGGGTGACTGTGTGTGGGTAAAAGCCCCACACAGCTGGTGTAAACTTGGCACTGGGTGGGGCATATCACTGGAATCAAGCTTGCATACTATGATGGTTAATGGAATGCCAATATATATAAAAGACTTGCATCCCTGTGTAAGTTTGGATACTTCAGCAAGTGACACCAGCAGTGAGTGCTCAGAAAGTGATAGGATAGTCACCATCAGAGGTAGGGCCAGTACCTCTTCAGATGTGCATGATGTTGTTAAACCAGAAGACTCCTCAAGAGATGAGTCTTTTGAACATACTACTCAATCCACTCCAGTAATCATCTCATTCCAGAGAAGCTCAAGATTAAAGAGGCCTGTCCTCATGTGTCACCTATGTGATGGGGAGTGTAACAAAAGAGAAAATCCCCTACCTCAAAAAAAAGTTAGTGCTTTGTGTGTGGTCTGCCCAAAAAAATTGTTAGCAAAAACCTGCCACTTTAAGTATCAGAAAAACTATGCTAATGTTCTTTCCTCCCTGACTGGCATGGCCAATCAGAAAAATTGCTCCGAGAATTTGTTTTGATTAACGAGTGAAGAATGATTTTTGAGCTTGGTGAGCAAAGGTGCATTTCCTCTGTTCCAAGTGGACATTAGTTCACATCAAATATTTAAATATATTAGTTCACATCAAATATTTAAATATATTAGTTCACATCAAATATTTAAATATATGAGAATAAAAAACTTTACTACTCTTATATTTTTATAATTTTGTAAAAAATATTGAATATAAACAATTATATCAATCTGTACTAATCAATTTTTTATGTTTGATATTATTATTTAAAATTTCTCTGAAAATATTACTTTTGAGTTTTTAATATTTCTCTAATTACCATTTGAAATAATAAATTGTTATCCAATAAAAAATGGAAATAAAATGAAAGATTTTGCGTTTAATAATAATTTAATCATTTTGTTGATTATGAATTAATCATTAAGTTACTTGGATTATTTGCACTTTAGGATGTTAAAATCTTGGCAAAGCAGCTGAAGAATCTTGTGCTTCATAAATGCATAGAAGAATGGGCTCATTTAGAATTCATATGGGGAATTGATGGTCCACAAGTTCTTTTCAATCAGATGATGAAATTGATGAAGAAATTCTGAAAGGTAAAATTTTCTTAATATTATTTGATTTGCATATGCAAATCAAATATGAAGCAATTCATTTATATATTTTATAATGTAATAATTTTATCCAATAATCTCCAAGTGATTCATTCAGTTGATACTTGATTCATGTTTGATATGTATTCAAATAGAGTTAAACAATCAGCCGAATAAGTAAAAATGATTTTAGAGTCTGTACTATTTTTTTTTATTGCAAACAAGCAGAAAAATCTTGGATATGAAGATATGGCCTTTATTTTTATTGTTACTCTTTAATAGACATGATTTTTCAACTATTCTGACTGGATTATTTTTCTTAAATTTATTTTCATAATATTATACACTTTTTATAATATTATATACACTTTTTTATGTAAATATTTTACTTCTTGTTTATTGTTGGAATCATGAAAATATGAAAGCCACATTTAGTTTAATCAACAAGTAATCTCCATATTTTTCAAATTAAATCAAACTCTAAACAGGAATAAAACTATTTAATTTCAGAATAATAAATGCACTTTTTGTAGAAACTGAAGTTTATCTGTTGTTTTACTGTTGAATTTAATTGCCCTTTAAAAACTTTGTTTATAAATAAGTAGAGCTTAATATTTAAGCTATCAATAGAAAATCTGACTTATTTTGTATTTGTTATTTAAACCTTCTTACATTTTATATATGTAATTTATAGTACATAAAATTAAAACTTGTTTTACTTGAGTATGTGAATTTCTAATATTTTTGATGATTCAAATATTTTAGATTTGAAATTGTACAATAAATACAACGAAATAAAAGTGTAAGAATATCTAATTTCTTCAGTTATTTTATTACAAATAATAACTTTTTTATTTTTAAATGTATTGATTTTTTTCAGTTAATATTCTGATATGTTTTTTATTACAGATTTTAGAAGTATACAATTCCTGTGTGAGAAAGAGCATAAATTACCAAACCATATCTAAGTGTTATGAATAACTGAATTTGCAACTTCAGCGAAGGAATGAATCATTGGGAAATTTTGAAAACAAATTTAATAATCTCATTAAAAATGACTGACATTACACTACCTAAGTGTAATTGTAAATTTTTAATTGTGTAATATTTGTACAAAATATATGTTATTTGACTGTTTTAGTTTTATTTTCTGAAATAACATTGTTATTAATCTCATAGAAGTATAAAACAAAAAATATTTGATAAAAACAAACAATTCCTGCAATTTTATAAAAGAAATCATAAAGAAATGATTATTATTTTTCTTCTGAAAAGATCTTTATGCTAGTCTTGTATGGAAATAGTCTTTTAACCTTATATATTGCCTTTTTAATTAAATATTGTGAAAATAAAACATTTCCAATACTTTTGTCATTACTTTGAAAAATTATTTTTTTCAGTAGTTTGGTATTATTTTATTTTCATTACAAAATGGTTACACTAATGATGCAAAGTCTTGAATCGGTTTGTAATGAAATATTAACATTCTTTCTGATTAGTGGGAAATGCTTTGATGAAATCTTTGGAAATGCAAATATATATATATATATATATATATATATATATATATATATATATATATATATGAGGGAAGGGTTTAAATAAACTATAGGGGGTCTGTTGACTTACATCCTATGGTGAGATGTAACCTGATTTTCAACATAGGTCTGAACTCACCTATGCTTGGGAGCCATAATGAAGGGCAAAAAGTTCCCCCAAAAATGATACAAGCGAGAGATAGCAAATGTAGCACGATCTAATATACTATACAGTCGGTGAAAAAACAACACCTTCTTCCTCATATAGCACTGCGTGACGACATTTTATATTATGGGAGATGTATATCGAGTCCAACGTAACCTGAGGACATTCTGTATATAGTACTGTTGTAGTCTTTTTAATATAAAAACGTATTACATAAAAACAGGATTTTCCCCATTTTGTAAACATATAGAAAGTGTACATTTTTGGCCTTATATGTACATTGTTAGAGCAAAGTTCATTTTTCTTAAAAATGAAAAATCTCCAGAAATGAAAGTCAGATTCAGTCAAACCTGATTAATTTTTTTATTTTATTCAGTTGAACTAGCTGAGACATTGGTGTGTCTATCACACCAAACATCACGATCAGAAGGTCATTAGGGTGGCATTCTGTGTCAAACATGGTTGATCAATGAAGGTGATTGCTGGCTGACCAACCTGTCTTGCGCCATGGCTAGGTGCCAAGAGTAGTAGATCATTCGAAAGTTCTTCTTTTGTTTGCCAGCAGTGTCCTGCAAAAGTCTATTCTGCATTCATGTAAGGTTGTAGAAATATTGCAGATGCATCCAGATTTAGTTGGATGTTGTCTCCAAGAGATATTATGTATATCTCTCAGTATCCAAGTCTAGGTTCTATCAATGTCCAAGCAGTAGCACCATACATTAAAACTGCCTCTACAGTGTTACAGTGGTGCAGAAGAATCTCTCTCTGAGTTTATCTGGTAGATCAAATTTTATGTAAGTCTTGGGATTTTCACATCCTTTTCCATAGATTTTATTTTTCTTCCTAGGTATGTAAAAAAATTCAACAAATTTTATTGATTCTCGGAGACAGTTTGTATTGAGCCTTGCTGTTTGAATCTTATGAATTTAGTTTTAGAGTCATTGACATAGATTCCAGCATTGTAATCAGCATTTTCCAGTTGATATACAAGAACAAGGTCGTCTGCATAGTCAATATCTGTCAATTTTTTTTGCAGGGTATCCACTTGAGAGTGTCTTGTTGATAAAGTAGAACCTAGATGATGATATTTGTTGAGTGAACTTTTCAATATATAAGAAAAGGTGATAAAAAAAGGGAAAAGGTACAAGGGTTTCAACCAGAGACCCCCCGTTCTAATGTCAAAGAAGCTAGTGTCTCAGTCTGAGGATCTAACCAAAGATTTGGTATTTCTGTATAGCATCATTATAGCAGCTACTGTCTCAGGGGGGCAGGTGCTATATGTCAGAAGAATCTTCTCTATTTTCTGCTATGTACAGAATCAAAGACAAATCTAAAAAAAGTAAGCTTTGCCCTGACACCTTCAATTATCTGCTGAACAGTTAGGATTTGTCCATTGGTTGATCTATTTTTTCAAAAGACATTTTGATTTTTTTTGAGCACCTTCTCTAATTCAGGTTGTATTCACTTGAGAAGCATTGAATTGTAAATTTGGGCTGCAGTGAAGGTAAGAGTGATTCCTCTATAATCCTAGATCTCCTTTCTTTGGAAAAGGATGTATGCAACCTTCTATCCATCTTTCTATGATTTCTCCATTATATGTGACATTACAGAGTTGAAGCAGAATATCATTGAAATTCTGGGTCTTCCAAGCCTCTAAAGGAATGTTGTCAAGTCTCACTGCTTTTCTATTTTTGATGTTTTTTAATGCCACTTGAAGTTTTGTGGCTGTAAAGTTTCCAGGTTTAATGTCAAGAGGATGATGTTGACCTCAATATCTAAAATGTCAGGTACATTTCTCAAGACATTTTTAAAATGGTCTTGTCATTTATTCAGTATTTCAGCCTGTCTATTGGCCTTTAACTTGGATTTATTTGATGATTCTCTACTGCTGATCTTCTTGACAGTTTTCCAAGCAAGAGCAAATTGTTTGTTGGCAGCAGCGGAGTTAAGGAGCTAACTTTTTTCCTGGAAGTATTCAACTTGTTGAGCAAGATCCTCATTGAATTAAGGGATGGATTTGAATTTCTTATGGCAGATTTTTCTTTCCCATTAGCTCTTTGTGATTCAATGCTATTTGATTCCTGAGGAATGTATTGCGATATTTAGGTTTTAAAGGTAATGACATCTACTGCAGCCTTTTCATGAGAAGTAATAAAATTATTGTATGTTCTATTAGGAGATGGTTCCTTGGCATCTAGTTGTAGTGTCTCAAACTTATTCCTGACAGCAAGGGTGTACTGGTCTTTGAGATGACTGTTGTTAGAAGAGACCACTCATATATTGGGAATGCAGTCTGCTTTTTCTTATTGGCTCTAAGGCTAAGTCAGATGGTGGATGAGACAATCCAATGACTTGAAGATACAGTATTTACATTAGTCGGACTATTGTCCTCATCTTTGTCACCATATTTGTAACAATGTTTCGGCCGTTGTACGCTCCGGCCTTCTTCAGGTGGTTGGAATTTCGAACTGAACCCTTTATTTCGATCACTGGGGTAGACTGTTCTAGTTCCACGTGCCATGTTTGATGGATGTCAGTTATCAGTTATCTCCTGCTAATTTTCCCTCTGAAAGTTCTCCACTGCCTTAACCAGGTATTGAACTCACCTTCTTTGGGTCTGTCACTGGATCTAACCAACGCCTTTATCCTGAGCCATGTGTCCTTGAGGACATCTGGGTATGAACTTCTGAGTATTATAAGCCTAATGTTTTCAGCATCATTTTTACCAGTGTTTATATTGTAATTTTGCTGTTATTGCATGTCTTTACCAGAGTTCATATTGCAACTTTGTTATCATTGCTTTTCTCTGGCACTCCTTATTACTGGTTCCCATCAGAAAAATCAGGCGTGGCTGACCACATATGGAGAGAGAAGGGAGATCACCGCCTCTTGTGGGATCATGTTGAGATCATAGACAGGGAACATCATTGGAAAATTCGTAAACTTAAGGAATCAGCACATATGCTAGGCCACAAAAATCTGAGCCGACCAAGCATATAAATAAATACAAAGCCATTGTCTTCCAAAAATAATTGGAGACTATAACCCAGGAACTGTAAAAATACATAAACCTAACTTTCCTCTCTGACCTATCATATCCCAAATTTCCACCCCTGTTTACCAGCTAACCAAAGCTCTTAATCAACTAATCAAACCTTACATTCCAAATAAATACAGCACAAAGTCAACACACAAACTACTCCAAATTCTAAAAATAAAAAACCTAATAATAAAACTTTAGCCTCACTCAAAGTTGAAAGCTTATTTACCAATGTCCATGTCAGGGAAACAATAGATATAATCATTAACAATATCTACAATAATCCACCTCTCCTGCCATTAAAAATTTGACCTAATATTTAAAAAAAAAAAACAGTTCTTGATGTGCACCACATAAGTTCCTTTTTATGACCACAAAAATGACACATACATACAATGTGATGGTGTATCTATGGGTTCCGTCCTTGGGCCAACATTTAGTAATTTTTACACGACTAATTTAAAAAATAATGTACTTAATACCACAAAAAAACCTCCATTTACCTAAGATATGTAGATGACATTTTCATTTTAATCAAAGATGAAATACACAAACTACAAGAAATACACAAATTACAAGAAAACTTTAAAAAAATACTGTACTTAAGTTCACATAGGAACTTAACAAGGACAAAAAATCCCATTCCTACCAGTGGTAGAGAAAAATGACTAAATGCCCAGCCACCAGTTGAATGGTGAGTAAACACTTGTAACTATTTTTATATCTACCATGAAACATTACATACCAATTATTTGTGAATTTTGACTGATGAACTCAAGCAGAAGGGTTAAAATTGTTCAGCAATGCAGGGATCAAAGGGTTAAGAAAAAATGCAAAATCAAATTCTTCAACAAAAAAGATTTTTTACACTGAATTAAAAAATATTAAACAAACCCTCATTAACAATCACATTCCTAATTACATCATTGATGAACAAATCAGACAAGCTATTAGGAATATTAACATAAATAAAAATGAATACATCATCAAATAACTCTATACATATCAAATTACTATATCACAAATGCATTCCAACTATAAACAGGAGGAAAAAATTCTAAAAATTTCATAAACACCAATATATCTCCCACTGATCCAAGAAAAAAAAATGAAATTAATTATATACTATACTAAATTTAATATAACCAACCTACTGGTCCAAAACAATTTTTTCTGCCAACTAGCATCTTGCAAAAGGCCAACATTGTATATCATTTAAATGTC